TTTCATCAACTTTATCAAAATTTATTAAAATTTTGATTTTAATTCCTATCAAATAAGGTCTATATTATAAACATATTTTAGCAATAAAGAAATTTTGATTATCCATTTATTTAACTGAATTAAAAAAAAAATATCCTTGCATTTTGGAGCATCAAAACATGAAATTCTTAGATCATAGTTTATATATCTTTTATTATTATTAACATTTAATATTGCTCAATATACTTTGCTAAGCTCATGTATGATGAAGATTAAAATTAGATTTTTAGTAAATTTTAATAAAAGTTAATGAAATGTGTGGTTGAAAAGTTATGGATCCCATAAAATATGTGATTCAAATTAATTGTTGATTTTGACTTAATTTCTATCAAACATTGGCTAAATATAACATTAGATGCACGGATGATATCAATGAGCATGGTTTAACAAAATACCTAGTTGTATAATGGATGAATTCCAAGTGGTACGATATGAGAAATTTCGTCGATCCTATAAAAATATACTTTGGATATTACAGTAGATATGGGCTCGTATAGAACAACTTATATGAGTTTAATAGAACAATCTTACAATGTAATGTTCTCAATTATCATTCTAGTGTAGATAGAGGCTAATCGAATTTATATCACCATATGAGATCAAACATTTCATATTGGATATGCCTTTAGTTACTTTAAACAATTCAAGGTGCATCGTGATGTAGCTACTTGAGCTAGCCATGCTATCTCAAGAACTTCGAGTCAATAACTAGTTTTGCGAGAAATGTTTTAAAGCTAATGGGACAATTGGGAAGCAAATTTATCAATAGTGATTTCTCTACATAATCACTTAAAACGTTCAAAGATATTTTATTTGCAAAAAAAAAAAAAATGCAAATTAAGCAATTATTTACCAAAAAAAAAAAAATTAAAGTTCTAAAACTATGCCTCCTCTAGTGACCTTCAAAAGAAAAAAAGTATGTTTAGAGTCAAGTGTAATGAGTTTGAACTGTTTACAAGTTTAGGTAGATAAAATTTACCAAATAACAAAAAATTGTGAGGCTTAACCCAATAGCAATTCCATCGAACCCTTCTAAAAAAATTACTTGTTTTTTTACCAATTTCCAAACAATAAAAGAATAATGTTGCACGTATAGGTCTACGTGGCATGTTTTTTTCCCTCCCCTATCACGGGGGGACATTTGTCTATTCCCTACCCACGTATAGGATTGACATGGCCATCACGTGTAGCATCGTCCAAAATAAAAGGGTTCGCATAGGTCATGAGTCGAAGCTACAGACCCAAGGTCCAAATCGACCTGACCCGGTCGAGTTGAGTGACCCTAAGAGCATATTTAGAGCCCGTTTGGTACACATTAAAATGAGAGAATGCATTTTTTTGAAGTCATGTGATAGAGAATATGTGGTTGAAAATATGGAAAAGTTATTGATGTGATGAAAAATATTATTTTATTGAAAAATGTGTGATTGAAAATGAGTAAAAAAATGAGAATGAAAAAAAATAATGTGACCCAAAATGCCAATCAGGGTCTTGGCCAATTTTTTGGCCTCCATTTTTAAAGGTTATGTATCATCTTCCATTACCTTAAATACGCAGACAAGTAGAAAGAAAGAGCCTTGAGAAAGAGAACCAAATCATTTCCTTAACCTTCACGCCTCCATTACACCAATATTTCTCTATCCGTCTTTCACTTCTCATAAAAACCTCTATTCACCTGCAGAACCATAACGCTGTATCCTAGATAATTCATTTTCCCCCCTGCCCTCACCCCTACCCTTAGCATTTTTCTTTCTTCTTACACTCTTCTTTAAATCCCCCCTTGATGCATTTCACACTTTCTCAGTTAAACAATCAGACCTTTTCAGTGTGTAAAAACTGAGAATTTCTGAAAAATCTTCAACTTTTTACTCAGTTTTCTACATGGGTTCTTGTAAAATAGAATATGGAAGTCAAGTAGAATGGCTATGGGTTCATGGCCCTATCATTGTAGGTGCTGGACCATCTGGCCTAGCAGTTGCAGCATGCCTTAAAGAAAATGGCGTCCCGTCTCTTATTCTTGAAAGAACTGACTGTATAGCTTCTTTATGGCAACAAAAAAGCTACGACCGTCTTAAACTCCACCTCCCCAAGCAATTTTGTGAACTTCCATTTCTTAAATTCCCAGAAAATTTTCCCAAATATCCCACCAAACACCAGTTCATATCGTACATGGAGTCATATGCTAAACACTTTTCAATCCAGCCAAAATTCAACCAAGTTGTACAAAGAGCAGAATTTGATCGTGTTAGTGGGTTTTGGAGGGTTCAAACTCAAGATTTTCTGTATTTCTCCAGGTGGTTAATTGTTGCCTCTGGTGAAAATGCTGAGCCAGCTATACCAGAAATTCAAGGCATTGAGAAATTTCAAGGGCCTGTAATGCATACCAGTGTGTATAAATCTGGCTCTGGGTTTAAAAACCAGAGGGTTTTGGTTGTGGGGTGTGGGAATTCTGGCATGGAAGTTAGTTTAGACCTCTGTAGACACAAAGCAATCCCTCATATGGTGGTCAGAAATTCTGTAAGTACATTATGTATAAAAATTTCAGTCCCTTCGTTTAAAGTACATTCTTGCATTTTGTTTCACTTTTTGTGTGAATTATCATGTCAAGTGCAGTAACTTACGGCATGGGGTCGGAGAAAATGATTTACGTAGTTGACTCTTGTTTTGCTTTTACTACTGCGAATTGTATGTTATCAAGAAGAGGAAGTTCTAGCAAAGAGTAGTTAAAAATCGAGCGGGCTGACAAAAATGATTTATGTAGTTGACTCCAAATTTATCAAGAGGCTACGATGGCTAATTCATCTGATTTTGGTGATTCAGGTTCATATTCTACCAAGGGAAACATTGGGAATTTCTACATTTGCTATAGCAATGGCACTTCTGAAATGGTTGCCTTTGAGATTAGTTGACAAGTTCCTCTTGCTGCTGGCAAATTTCACCTTAGGAAACACAGACAAATTAGGCCTCCGGCGTCCTAAAACCGGCCCGATTGAGCTAAAAAATGCCACCGGAAAAACCCCGGTACTGGATGTTGGTGCATTATCCCAGATTAAATTCGGAAAAATTAAGGTAATGAAACATTAATAATGTCCTTGAGTTCTTGACAAAAAAAAAATATGTTTTAAAACTAATTATGTAGTAAATGTTGCAGGTCATGGAAGGGGTCAAGGAGATAACCAAAAATGGTGCTAAATTCATGGATGGACAAGAAAAAGAGTTTGATTCTATAATCCTAGCAACTGGCTACAAGAGCAATGTACCTCGTTGGCTTACGGTACGTACGCTCTAGTTCTCGAGCTCGAGTTTTGAATTTCTTTACGATCGAACTTTTTTGTCACGAAACAATTGGCAAATCCCATGTTTTTTTTTTTAGTTTTTAGTATTATCTTTTTTCTCAATCTTATATGGCTTTCCTTCTTACACAATTAACAGAGGGCACAAAAGTGAAAATTTGATGGCATTTGTTTGAATTGACTCAGGAAGAAAGTTTTATTTGTATCTCATGATGTGTAACTATCATAAAATATTCTTTTAAAGATCTTATTTGCCAGATTGCCAGATTTAAAGCCTTACCTAAAATAAATTGCTAGATTTTATTTCGGGTTTCTATATATCTACTTCCTTCAAGAACTTACTTTTAATCGATAACTCGTGCGCTACACGATGCAACACACTAGAGTCAGTCAGATATCGACACTTCATTTATGCATTTTACTTCTAAAATCACATTTACCAATATAAATGAGAACAGTCTTCCTAATAAAATCCAAGAAAATACAAATTCAACCACTTCCATTTCACTTCAAGATGCCTAATTAATTAACTTAAAGTAGTTTGTAGGCTATGATCTGAAGAGCAATTAATTAAACCAGCAGTAATTGGTTGTTGAATTTTAATTTAATTTTTATTTTTATTTTTCTGAGGTACATGAACAGTAGCAGTACTTTTACTAACATGAAATAAATTTATGAGTGTTCCCACAAAAAATGTCAGGATAGTAAATTTGCAGAATTTGACAGTAACATAAAGAATTTTTTTACACATTTTCAAGCTTTTTATTGGGCAGTTGGATGAGACTATGAACTGAAATTTATTGCAACATGGCTAGTAAAAAAAACCGTTCGATATATAACGAATATAAAAATTGCTCTCTCGTATTGTGATTGGTTATTTTCGAGTCATATGTTTGAGAAAGCACATGTTTATTTGGCGATTATGACTGGGTGCTATATTATGTTAAATCGCTACAACTAAACTCTTGTTTTGTTAGAGGGGAACATGTTTATTTAGTACGCTTATCACAGAATCGGCCGAGTTTTCGACCGTGAAAAACATTGACTTTCCATGTGACCTAACTTGAATTGTGAAAACCTATATATAACATGCAGGGTACTGATTTTTTCACAAAAGATGGGATGCCTAAAACACCTTTCCCAAATAGTTGGAAAGGAGAGAATGGATTGTATACAGTAGGGTTCACCAGAAGAGGCCTCCTTGGAACTTCATCAGATGCAGTAAAAATTGCAGGAGATATTTCTGATCAATGGATGAAAATCAAGGGCTGTAAAATCAGCAGTTGTAGTTCATATATTCTTCCAATATAAGAAAATACAAGTGAAGTTCAAATCTTATTTTACCTTTTTTTTTTCAGATGTAAATTCTTCAATTTTGTGTTGGTCTTGTGTTTGTTCTCTTCTTAGGTTGTATGTTTCTTAGGTTTGTTTCATACAATGTTTAGAATAGAGGTTTTCTTTAGTATTTTCACTTCAAGATTCTTGAGGGTGACTAAATGTTAGAGGAAATTTCCATGTTAACCAATGTTACCTAAGTAAGATTGTTGATTTAACCCCTCCTTGAGCCTTAATTTTTTAAAATTCCTTTTTTTTTCAATCTCATTTTCAATCATATATTCTATTAAAATCTAATTTTAAGCTAAGCTAGACGTGAGTTTAGTTCACTAGTTTTTCACGGACATGTATCCATAGTAGTAATAATTGACATGACTCGACTCTAAGTCGATTTCACTTTGAAGCTTGCAATAATCACTATGAATGTTCATCATAATTACACTGATTATGAACAAAACTCGTATTACACAATTAACTTAAGTTGATTTAGTGTCATTGTTTATTTCTATAGTGCATAAGCTCAATTATATTTTTATTTTTTAAAAAATATTAGAATCAATATTTTGTTTTATAACTTCCAACTAGATTGTTTTGAGTTTGACAAATACACTTTTTGACCATAAATAAGTATTGTACACAGGCATTTGAATCTCGATTTGTAATCAATACTCCTAATTTGTATTTGTATTATTTTTGTTGGAAAATATTTTTTATACATAGCTATTTACATAATATTTTACATAATGATAAGCTGTTAAAATGTATGTTGAGAAGTTATTTGATCGATGAGCAGGAGCCAGGAGAGACAAGAAAAAACAATTTTACTGGACTACTACATAGAAAAAAAGATTCAAAGGATTTTTTTTTTTTTTTTTGCGTTTAAATTAAATGAGCCTTGGGGAAAGGGCTGGGCTAGGCTTGTGTCTCTCTCCCTGTGCCCGTAAATGAGATTTTGATTCAATTAAATTTCGTCATATCATTTGTTGGTAAATCATTATGTAAGTTGTTATGTACATGTAACACAAACGATTTAATGTAAAAAAAAAAAATGTTAATAATCATTATAATAGACACAAATACGATAATAAATTTGTACTTTGGCTAAGTACAAAACTAATGATGTAATGGATTTTTTATTTTAATCACGTCAAGTGGGTACATACGTACGCGTGCATTTTTAACGTATTTATGAAAACGTAGGTTGATGTGAATGAAAATGACGGGAGAAAAGGCTTGGGCATCGAAGGTGAAAAATTGATAACACGCTTTCACATCACGCGTTACGGGGAAGTGACGTCATATTCGTCACTATATACTGAACCACTGACGCTCACAGATTCAGAACACAGATTGCATGGCTTATCAAAGATAATAAGACAAAAAAATAATATTTTTGTACAATTGTTGTTAACAATTATAAATGGCAATATTAACGTTGTCAAAATTTGGACAGTTGATTTAAATAATAGTTTTAAAATGGATGAATATAATATCGTCAACTGTTAATTGCCAATCATGATTTGTAAAAAAAGATTGCATACGTAGCATGATTGTAATTTTAATCATATATTTTATGAAATCCACTACTATTTTTTTTTATAAATAATTTATAAATTTATCAAACGGAGGCTTAGTTTGTAGATCGTGTTTAGTATTGCTTTTGAGTGCTTGTAAGAGACGAGTCTTACAAAGTGTGAAATTATAAGTGGTAGTAAGTTGTCGAGGCACGAAATGTGTGGACTCGATGCGTTTTACATAATTAAAAAATATAATTCAATATTATCTTCACAGTCTAATTATCAAACACAAGCTCACACAAAAAATATTATATAGTAATGTTGGCTTAACCCAACAAATATCCCGTTTAGTTTAGATGAAAATCAGACTTTTAATATATTTTGATAAAAAATAATAAAATCTTTGTTTTAAAAGTTGATACAAGTTGTAGATCCTATGACATGTATAGTTAAAAATGAGGTTTAGAAAATGAAACTAAAATAGGGGCTTAATTAGGGTGGACAAAACTCCCGAACCGAACTGAATCGAGCGGTTCTTTTTAAGTTAAATACCCGAACGAGTATCTGAATCGAGAACCGACGGGTTCGATTCGATTCTCGGTTCTAGACCAAGAATTGAAGAATCGGATAAGAACCGAATCTCCCTAATTTTTTTTAATTTTTTATCTTAAATAAGTCAAATTATTTTTTTAAAAAAAATAAATTGTTAACTAATTAA